TGCTTTCTGACTACTGGGTTATTCTTTATGCACATAGGACACATTGCATTTACCCTTTTTGCCAATGTTAACATCTGGTTTGAGAGAACCTCATTTTTCAAAAATTTTACCAATGCTTCTGCACCCCAGTGGCACTTATTGTGTTCTGTTTCAAGCACTGCTTTCATTATTCTGACAGGTAGAATCACTTGTCCTATGGGGGAAATGTACCACCCTTTAACATTTTTCTTTGCATTTGTCATTTGAGCTAATTTTTCATCTTCCTGTGAATAATGTGGTTTTTCTTCCATATATGGTATTGCTGGATTATTTCGAACAGGCAAAAGAACCATCTGAGTCCATACTTCTCTTGCGGCCTGCTTAGCCGCTTGGTCAGCCTGTCGATTACCTCGAAATTCTCGTCCGGGATCTCTCTGATGTCCTTTAACATGCATTATTGCCACTGTTGAGGGCTTGTGTATTGCCTCTAGCAATTGTAAAATTTCTTCCCGATGTTTAATCGTTGTCCCTTGAGAAGTAAGAAGTCCTCTCTCTTTCCAGAGTGCTCCGTGAACATGAACTACCCCAAAAGCATATTTGGAGTCAGTCCATATGTTAACTCTCTTTCCTTGGCTTAATATTAAAGCTCTCACCAATGCCCATATTTCGGCCTTTTGTGCAGACGTACCTGGGGGTAGTGCATTTGCTTCTATCACTTCTTGTTCAGTGACCACTGCATACCCAGCATACCTGGTGCCGTTCTCCACAAAGCTAGATCCATCAGTGAACAATTCCCAGTCAGGATCTGCCAATGGCTCGTCCTTCAAGTCTCTTCTGCTCGCGTAGACTTGTTCAATGGTCTCTACACAGTCATGCTCCAGAATACCTTCTTCCTGTGTAGACCTAAGGAATTCTGCTGGGTTGAGATGGTTAGTGATTTTCAGTTCAACATCATCTTGTTCTCTCAACAAAGCTTGATACTGTAACATACGGCTAGATGAAAGCCAATGCCCCCCTTTTTGTTCCAAAACTGCTATGACCATGTGGGGTACGTACACTACCATGTGTTTTCCCAGAGTCAATTTTCGTGCTTCTTGTATTAAAATAACCGTTGCTGCCACAGCTCTGAGACACCCTGGCCATCCCCCACTTACTGCGTCTAGCCGTTTGGAGAAATATCCAACAGGTCTTTTCCAGGATCCTAGACGCTGAGTGAGGACTCCTAAAGCCATTCGTTGTCTCTCACAGACATAGAGCTGAAACTCCTTGGTTGGGTCCGGCAGTCCCAGGGCAGGTGCTTCCTGGAGGGCTCTCTTCAATTCCTGGAACGCTTTCTCTTGCTTCGTCCCCCAGGTCAGCTTGGGCTCCTTTACTGCTTCATATAAGGGTCTGGCAATTAGTCCAAAGTTGGGAATCCACAGTCTGCACCATCCGACCATTCCTAAAAAAGATCTCAGTTCCTGATTATTTCGGGGCACAGGGATAGCACATATTGCTTGAACCCTATTTGTTCCTAAGCGTCGGGTTCCTTGGGAGATTTCACATCCTAGATAAATAACTTTCTGTTTTACTAGTTGTGCTTTTTCTTTTGAGACTCGGTAGCCTGCTTGTCCCAGCATGTTTAACAGTTCAATGGTTAATTGACGACAGAGTCCCTCGTTTTCAGTTCCCAAAAAGATGTCGTCTACATACTGAAGTATTATATATGAAAAAGGAGATTCTTTTACCTGTGTAGTCTTCCATTCCTCAAGCTCCTTTGCTAGCTGATTACCAAATATCGTAGGTGAGCATTTAAATCCTTGTGGTAACCGAGTCCAAGTAAGTTGTCGCTTCCGTCCAGTCTCTGGGTTCTCCCATTCAAAGGCAAAGATTTTCCAGCTTTCCCGTGCCAGTGGTATGCAGAAGAAGGCATCCTTTAGATCAATCACTGTAAACCACTGAAATTTCTCAGAAACAGATGTTAACAAGGTGTAAGGGTTAGCTACAACCGGGTGGATATCTTTTGTGATACGGTTTACTGCTCTCAAGTCTTGCACTAACCTATACTTACCATTTGGTTTTTTAATCGGAAATATGGGGGTATTAAATTCTGACTCACATTCTTTTAGTATCCCTAAAATTAAAAACTGTGTGATCATTGGAGCTATTCCTTTTCTAGCTTCTAAACTAATTGGGTATTGTTTTACTCTAACGGGTTGTGCTCCCTCTTTTAATTCTATTCTAACTGGGGTAGCAGCTTTGGATTTTCCAGGGACCCCTGTTTCCCATACCCAAGGCACTACTGCTTGTTCTATTTCCTGAGGTACCTCTTCTTTTTCTACTTCATTTACAACAAAAATTTTTGCTAAGTTCTCCTCCGGAATTTCCAATTTAACTCTCCCTTCTTCAAATATAATTTTAGCTTGCAAGGCTGAAAGCAAATCTCTTCCTAGTAAACATTCAGGACTGTTGGGCATATACAAAAACTGGTGGTCTAATTCTTTTCCTCTAAATTTGATATCTAAGGGTCGCAGAAACGCTTTTTCTTCTACCTGTCCAGAAACTCCTACCACCCATGCAGTTGAATCGCTTAGTGGCCCCATCAGTTTATTCATTGCCGAAAAACTAGCTCCAGTGTCTATCCTAAATTCCGTCGGCTTCCCCTCTACTTCTAAAACAACCTTTAAGTCTGAATCTAGCCGACTCTGTCTTCCGTAATTCCCTAACATAAATGCTTGGGCGACACCTTGTGGCGTGCCCATACCAGCAGGGTTTTGCGGATTTGCAAGGCTCTGAGGATTCCATGGGTTCAATCCATTTCCAGCATTCAAAGGGCATTCATTTTTCCAATGTCCTTGTCCTTTACAAAGAGCACACTGATTTAGTCCTATTCTACCACGTCCTCCCCCATATTGATTTCCAAATCCTAATTGATTATTAAATCCTCTACCCATTCCTCCCCTTCCCCTATTACCACGACCTCTTCCTCTATGGCTACCGGCCCCATTGTTCTCTCTTGGAGCTTGCAGGAGTGCTAACAAACTTGTCTGCTGCTTCTTAGTAGTTTCCCTTTCTCTATTATTGTACACTTTCCATGCCACTTCTAATAATTTTTCCAAATTCCTCGTCTCCGCACCCTCCAACTTCTGAAATTTCTTTCTAATGTCTTCTTGTGCTTGTCCCATAAAAATCAATGCTAATTGCAATTTCCCTGATTCAGCTTCAACATCCAAATCTGTATATTTCCGAGCTGTCTCTTTTAACCTCTCCAAAAAGGCTGAAGGGGATTCCCCCTTATCTTGCCTTACTGAATATAATTTTGACCAATTCAGCGTTTTCGGTATCCCCTTTTGTACTCCCTCCACCAATAATTCTTGATAAACTTTTAACCTTCTATAATCTTTGTCCACCTCCGGATCCCATTCGGGATCCTCCCGCGGTACAAAATCATTCACATTTCCCCGCACTCCCTTGGGCAAAGTTTTTATTCTTTCTTTCGCTTTTTCTACCATCACCTTTAATACCATTTCCTTTTCTGTCAAGTCCAAAATTGTATCTAACAATACTTGCAAGTCATTCCAGTCTGGGTTTTGAGTTTTTATAACCATTTTTATAATACGAGCCACCCGCTCCGGGTTTTCTCTATATGTTCCAGCAGACTGTTTCCAAATTAATAAATCACTAGGTGAAAAAGGAACTTTTACCATGACTTTCTTTCCGTCTGCTCCAATTGCCTCCCGCAAAGGGGCCATCAATCTAGGGGGTGAGAGCGACCCGTCTGCCTCCCTTCCCCCTCCCCGTCTCCTTTCTCTAGTCCTTCCCCTTTCTTTTCGCCCCTTTCGAATCCGTTCTGCTAGCGGAGTTCTATCAACATAATATCCTCGTTCTTTCATTTCTTCCTCATCCGAGGACGATTCTAACGGGGGCATGGAGGGCGACCGTGCCTTCTCACGTGAAGGGAGACTATCTCTCGAGGGCGCACTTGGAGTTCTACCGGGGGAGACTAACAAAGACACATCCTCCTCTGGTTCTGAAAACCGTATTTTCCGCTCATATTTATCATCCAATCCTTTCAATATCATTATACTCCGCTCTTGACATTCTTTACATTTATCATCCTCCAGTTTCAGTTCTTTCAACACTAAAATACCACATTCTTTTTGCCACTCAGTGTTATGTTCTAAATAATAAAACAAGTCCAGATACGGTATTTCATCCCACTTCTCATTCTCTCGTAAATATCGCATCAAAGGGGTTATAATTTCCAAAGTCAATGAACCATTTCTAGGCCACTGCATTCCTTCTGTCTCATACTGAGGCCATACATTATTACAGTAATCAATCAATTGTTTCTTGTTTAACTCTTGTCCAAAATTTCCCTCCTTCCAATGTTTTAACAAGCAACCAAGCGGAGAATCGCTAGGGATATCTTTTTCTGCACAAGATAATGCTCTAAAAGTTTTAAACGGCATCATACCGGCTCACACATACACCGTAATGTGAATTCCTCAAATTCACAATACACCACAATGTGAATTCCTCAAATTCACAATACCACAACCATACAAAACAATACGTTTAACGACCAGCACGACAACACAACCACATAAACCAAGTACATATTCCAAAACCAAAACCAAAACCAACTCGCCAATTCTCCCTCTGAGTGGCGAGTGCTGGTACAGCGCGGCTTTCGCTACGTCTTACGACCAGCGCCTAGGCTTCCCAACCGAGGTACCTTTAGCCCAACCTAGCGGGTAACTAGCGGTCCCGTCTTATAGGCAGGCTCCCAACCAACAAACCTAAAAGAATAAAGCACCTCCGGGCTTACCTGGATGGGTTGTCCGGCGGGCGCGGGGTCGGGCACGGGTCGATGTCTCCCCAGAAATCACCTGGTTGCCGGCGTGGAGTAGATCAGCGCGTGAGCCGCCCCAGCTACCCCCGGAGTCCCATCTGGGTCGCCAGAAAACTGTTGCCCGTAACCAGAAGAAACACAAACCAACAGAGTGCCGGTTTATGCGGTGCTTTATTCGGGGCCCCGGGAACCTGAGGACTAGCGTCCAAAGTCAGGATTCCGAAGACCCTCATTTTCAGTTCAGCTTTTATACACAAACAAGTTTATGTGCAGTTTCCACGGCAAACCAGTTACAGTTTCCACAGCAAACCAGGTGCAGTTACAAACAAGCTCATACTTCATACTGATAACAATTAATAATCATCTACTCCAATCATAAATCTGCTTAAGTTGTCTTATCCCTAGAAACTGTTTAACAGACCTTAACCACATCCTAGGTAACAAATCGTTGCATACATGCCTGACTAGATCCTTTGATTATGGTTTCCACTTCACACACAAACAAAGTTGCTTTCTAGGCCTACTCTTCTACTAAGCCTTAGCCATTCTACTACTAATTTAAATTGCTGTGCAACACAGTCAATCACTTGTGCTCTTTGGGACCCCGACTGGCTCTGCTGAATGTCAGCAGGCCTGGAGTTCCCAGACTGTTCCTGCATCCAGGGTCGGGCCTGCAGTGACGTTTGTGCAGCATTAAATTGGGGCAGTGGCTGGATGGCCATGGATCCATTCCTGCAGAAACACAATGGGGCTCCATCCCAGGCAGGGATAGAATGGGCCCACACATTTTGGAAGGATAAGAACCAGGGAGTTTTGGCCCTTTGGAATCCCATGGAACCAAAGGAACCCTGGGACATGGCAGAACCTCATGGAATAAAGGGGACACTGTGACCCTGCAGCACCTCATGGAACCAAAGGGAGTCTGGGACATGGCAGGGCCTAATGGAAACAAAGGAACCTCCTGGGAACAAAGGGACCCCGAGACACTGTCAAAACTCAGGGAGACAAGGGAACCCCAGGACACTGTGGAATCTCCTGGAATCCAGGGGCCATTGGAATACCCTGGGGCCTCCTGGAACCAAAGGGAACATGGGACACTGTACACAGCGTGCCCACAAGCGTTTCTTGCGTGTTTGGAAGCATTATTCCTGCCAAGGTATGAACATATGATGCAGGAGCACCCTGGATTATCTTCTTCCACATGGGCATTGTGCAAGTGACACCCTCTGGGTCATCAGCGACGGGATCGTATTGAGCGTCATCATACGTAACTTCCAACAATGCCAATTCTCTTAGGTACCGGACGGTGTCTTCTACCTTGGTCCACTTCCTCATGGGGCACGGTAAATAGTCTTTAATTGGAAACCTTTGTCTCGCACTTAAGACAAGTCGCGC